TGGAAGTCCTTTCAGTTTCAGCTGAGAATAATCAGATGCAGATTTTAGAAAGATTACTAATTTAAGAAGTCATGTGAGTTTTTGCCACAACTGTACTAGCTCCCTGCCAAATAGGCAGATATTCTTTTCTGATGAACTCAGACTGCCTGAGGCTTTGGATGTGCACAGTCTCACACGTGTGTATACATACCCACACAGCATACCCTGGAGTTGACGCAGAGTAAATTATTTCTGAAACTGTTGTTGTGTGTGGTTGAATGAGACACTAACAGCAGAGGAGACCTAGTGGAGCCCAGGGCATTTGTCCCGACTCTGGCTGCCTGGGAGAAGTGACCTTCTCTCTGGTGATCTTCTTGTCTGTGAAATGGGAATGTTCAATCAGATCTGTGTTTCTCAAACTCAAGTCCACCGTTCTCTGGGGTAATCTGTGAATTGTTTTTTGTTCTTTTGGGGGGTGATGTTCTGAGATGTCTCTTAAGGTTTTACATTTTGTGTTCCTGTTAATTTATATGTGTTTTCAGACTTGTGGATCAGCACTGTATGAGTGAAGTTGCCATGTGACCCAGGGCCTGCCCGCGTGTCTGCAGCTGTGCTGACACACACCGATCACGGAGCGTGGCACCGTTGAACTGCCTGGGCAGTGTTTCTCAGTGGGAGTTTATGGGTGGGCCCCCAGGGTCTCCAGGCCTGTTCTTGGAGTCCTTGAGTTGAGAAATGCTGGATTGGTACAAATATAAATTACCATTTCATTATTCTCATGTTTTTCCTATTCCCACCAGCATAGTACAAAAAAAAAAAAAACCAACACTTGTACATGTGTATTTATAGACACAGACAGGATTATAGACTAGTCTAGCATTCTTCCAACTGTTATCCAGAAAACTGCAAGACACTAATATTGATGCTGAAGAAACATTAAAACGAGTTTAGGAAATGCTGAGTTAAAGAGGTACTTTTACTGCAAACCTTATAAAATGTTTAACACCCTAAATATGTACTGTAAATATTCAAGAAGTACCTATAGTGTGCAGCCTTGCCCCAGGTGACTTGTTAAGGAACCCTTGTTTAGCTTCTGGAAACATGAAACTTTGTGTTTTGCATACAGTTTGGGAGACACAGATCTTGACTGTGCCAGAATCATTTTGAACATGTTTGTATATGTCTGAGCCAGGTGGTTTTAAAATAAAGATAGAACATTCTCTGGCAGTTCTGGTAACTTGCTTTTCCAACCTAGATTCTTCAGGAAAAATGTGCTATGAGAACTCCAAAAATATCTCAGTAATCTGTTAAATTGTTAAATCTGTCTATTTTCTAAGATTCGTTCTTAAAGAAATAGCCAACTTGTAAATCTGGCTGGAAAAATATTCCTTTATTGTTTTGTTGAAAGGCTGTAACTTTTTTGTCATTTTAGAAAAGTATATTGAAACTAGGTAGATTATTAGCATCACATGGTATGCGGACTTCTTTCCAGGCTGATCTTCATTTCCAGCCTCGTAGCGAACAGTCAGATCTATAAATGGCATTTTGAATATTGACACGTTTCAAAAATCAGACAGTACATTCTGTCTTTAACAGTATTCTCAAGCTTATTGTTAAATTCTTCTTGTGAGCTTGAAGTGTACTTGGATGCATAAGAGCTATGTCATGCATATGTAACTGTTAACCAGTTATTACAGGCTTAAGTTCTTCAAATTAGTTGTGTTACATATGGAATTTAAGGCTTTTATTTTTGTGAATACATTTGGTGAACAATATTTATAACATGTAATTTTTAAAATTCTCAGAGCAGCTCTGCAGAGGTGGTTAATTGTGTTATTATTCTATCTTACAAACAATGAAAGTTATGTACCTAAGTTTACTGAAACATCTCACCCCATGAAATCATAGCCCCCAGCTGGTAATGCCTAGTTCACTCAGCCACGGTTGACCACAGGTCCGACCCAATTTTTTACAAAGTGGGCAACCTTTGTGGCTCTATTTTATATTTTATTTGAAAACTTTAATTCTGATAATGAAAACTTTAATAACAGATAATGTAAACAGGTTGTCTAGGAAGCTAGATGATGTAAAATAATTGGAAAGAAATTATAGAATTCAATCTTCCTGGAGTACAGTTGCATAAAAATGTTTTTCAGTCTGTTGTCTCATTGACTAATCTATTTTAAGAAATGTGCATTGTAAATGAAGTGTGACAGATGGACAACTGATACCCTTTTGGTTTGAATACAACGTGGTCATCATCTGTTTGGACTCAAAGCAGTATAACCGGGTAATTGATAACCGTGGGAAAATTTATGGCTTGACTAAATTGTCTGACCTTATCAGTTTGCTTCTCTTTGCAGGGAAAATTAAATGAAACAGCTTATTTTCTACACATACCGTATAGAGATGTGAATGTTTATGAAGTTCTTTTGCATTTTTCT